TTGATCGTATTGTGAATGATTCATCCATGCATGTTTCATTTGACCTCGAAGTTTTTAAATGAATTTCATTTGGTGAAACAACAGACTTTTCTGACGAATGCCGGTCTTTTCTAATCATTCAGTCGCTTAAACGCTCACCTTTCTTACGATCGATAACAAACTCGCAAACAGATCTGCCTCAATCCAGTCAACAAATGAAGGCAGAACAAAGTCCCAATAACTTACATGTTTTTCTTTTTCCAACATAGTTTTTTTTTACATCGAAGATAATCTCTAAATCTCTACTGTTTCATCACAACCTTAAAGTATTGAATTCCATGCAGTCAATAGGATAAAAATATTATAATTAGTTTTATCCTCTTCTCAATCTTATTTAACGCCTTACATCATACAGTTTAAAATGAGTCCAAAGAATTAGCAGTCATTTCCAGAATCCATAAGCCTCTAATTGATGTCCGTTAATGTCCTGACTACCAATTTCGTATGCTTCAGGCTACGTGGAATCCGCAATAAAAGATCTATAATTTCCTGTGATATCTTGTGAAGTGCCTATAAAAGACGTCCGCTTTGAATGGGCTCAATGAGGAAGAGTTTGACGTTTCCTGCAAATTAATATTCGAACAAATGAGCAAATATCCATATGGGACTAAATGTCATGATACAACTGTCAAAATGCTGCAACAGATGTTTAAAACCCCTGTAGACATACAGTACTATGAAGGATGCAAAACAATGATCTCAGACAAAACAGTCACAATAATACTTATACAATAATACTGATCATGAAATAGCCTACGCCGCATGGCACCGATGCTCAAGACAAAGCCACAGATTGAATGGCTGGTTTGAATACACACAAGTCTACTATTTCTCGAGCACATATCCTGTCTTAAGCAGCCTATGCTGTCTACCCAGACCGCATTAGTACCAGTTCTCATCATAGGGAAAAAAAAAAAAAAAAAAAAAAAAAACAGAACAGCATGCACTCTTCAGCACAATAGGCCCTCAACAAAAAAGAATAATATAGAAAAATACAGCTGCTTTGTTGTCTGAACTGAGGGGAATCAACTAACCTAGTTTTTTTCTTTTTTAAATGATGGCCAATGTGGGTCAATAGAACATTGTGTTACATTAAAAGAAATGACTGCAGAACATTACATTTCTCAGCATGACAAATAATATTCAAATATTCACAGTAGACTAGCCTACTTACCAACAAATGCACTGTTGATCTTAAACTAGCCTAAATATAATTCGAGGATCGAAAAATGTCATGCATGAATTGATTTTCTCAGGGGAAAAAAACGTCACTCTACGCGTGATGCTTCCTAGCGGCGTGTCGTCACGAGGGCACACTGCTTAAAAGTTGCGAAGGTTCGTCGTTTCTAAACAGAGCAGGTGTGGAGTTTATCCTCGTGCTGTGCGATTCTGAAGACGCTTCTGCACCAGACCTGGCGAGAGATCTTTCTCTAAAACAACAGATTCAGCACTACGGGGACACTGCCAAGAAACTAGCCTACTGTAAACAGGTGAACTTTTTACAGAATTTAAAGATAATTAAACTTATTAACTAATCATTTCATTTGCTGAATTAGTTGGGTTATATTATGCGCAAATGCGCGTAGCCTATAAATAATTTTTACGCGCTCATTTACAGTAGCCTATGTTATATTTACCACTTTTATGTAAAATTTTCAAGACTCTACCACAGATTGCTTTACATTTTCCTCATGTAAGTAAAGGTAAACTGCTCGTTTGTAGCCCATGGCGTTAACACTGAACTCCTGGTGGACTCTGGCTTTGAGCGCCTGTCTCGTGCTGATGGTTCGAGCTGACTGCGGCAGAGACTGCGCGCTCTGCGTTTACCGGCTGATCCAACAACAGACAGAGATCGACACACTGGTGAGTTTCATTTTTTACATATATATATTCCGACAAAAGTCTGAAACTATATAATGACCATATAGATTTGAACTAAAAGGTTAATCTGTGTTCTCAGGACAAGAGGCTATTATTTTTCATAGAAGTCAGGTCGGCTATAAGTTGACATTGTTGATTGCCACCTTTTACAATTTTTTTGGCTGTTTCATAATAGTTTTACTGTTTACAGAATGGCATTTTATCGTGACGACTAGGCTACCTTATTGTGAGACAACATGGTGAACTGTTCAGTTTACTACTTTTTCTTATGGCAGAAATGTTCAATATCTTTTTTGCAGTCAAATTCAAAAATTGACATTCAAACCTGAGAAATATTAACTTGAGTAAAATGTGTTATAGCTATCCGGTCCCTCCTATATTTAAATCTTAAATTAAACATTTATTTGCAATAAAGATGTTATGAGAAACGGATTTTTTTTTACTTATAAGGCAAGCAATGGTTGTTTGCCAGATTAAACGAGCCCAGTGGTGTTATTAAATCAATGAATGTGCTGTTGTTGGACTCTTAATTGCAGTCAAATGAAAAGTATTATTGTTTAAATTGATATAAAATGCAGTTAGCTTTTTTTTACCCATGTATTCATCTTTGAAATTTATACTTAAAAAAAAGAAATATGATCAATAAGTTATGACAAACATGTTTTTACATTGCTTTAACTCATCAAAATAAGTTAAGCAATTTTCAACTTTTTGAAGTTGTCTCAACTAATTTTATAAATGTCAGTATAATGTAATTTAAGTTGAAATGACATAAACATGGCAAGGATGCCAAGTTCAAAAGCAACTTTTTTGTGTTATAAATGCAATTGCTGACAAGCATTACGATAAACTAAATATACTTTAATGTAATTTCTATTAAAACTTACATGTCATATATTTAAATAAATTTGTAATTACAAATGTGTAACGAAGTTACAATTTAGTACATTTAAAAATCTATGAACTTTTAAACGTAATATTGAATAACACTACAGACATAATTATAAACATTTAAACATTTAAGCATGAAAAAATTAATTCAAACATAATTTAAATGGACTTTATTGTAAACTTTTGAAATTATTATATACTCTTATTCTTTTAAGACTTAAAAGTATACACGTCACATTCAATTCAAGTACACTTCCCTATTTTTCACAAGGGTTATGTCACCTATGTGGCATACATAATATGTAGTTCTTTAACAGATTCAGTAAAACATTATTTGAACAAAAGATGAACATTACAGACTCTACATAGTCAAATGTCTGGTTTTATATTTTGTACTCTTATGTGAACGCAGTACAAGCACAAGTGATATAATTTCCACTTAGAGCTAATTGTGCTGTATAGCATTATATTCAAATCAAAACCAATTCAAAGCAAGTTCTTCATTTTCTCTGACCGTGTTTTCAGAGTGCTTCACTGAACAGACATTTTCCACTGTGCAGATTGTCATAAGCAATTATTGGCAGTACTCTTTATCTTCCATTGTGCTCTTTAGACTGAATGTGTGTGCCCTCTGGTGGACCAAATCTTTCCTTGCATTGATCAGCCATTCGTTTCTCCTCTAGACCTGCACATTAGAGTGTGAAGGGACTGTGGACTCCAGAAAACTAGAAGTCTGCAAAAACATCCTCTCAGAAGAGGATCGCCTTGCCATCGACAGCCTCAAGCAAGAGGAAGAGAGCACCGACCACCTTCTCACCAAGAAATACGGAGGCTTCATGAAGCGTTATGGGGGCTTCATGATTAAGAAAGCAGCAGAGATCGGCACGGGGGCCCAGGCAGAGAGTGACGGCAGAGAGCTCATCAGTAAGAAATATGGAGGTTTTATGAAGAAGGACAAGGCAGAGGGTGGAGCTGAAGACCAGCAAGTGGAGATGCTGAGAGATATCCTCAGATTCGGTCTCATCACAGAGTCAGATGAGCAGCACGATGGGGACATGGTCAAACGCTATGGGGGCTTCATGAGGAGCGTACAGGGGAACAGCGGTCTAGGGGAGGCAGCGAGAGACCAGCACAAGCGATACGGGGGCTTTATGCGCAGAGTGGGCAGGCCTGAATGGTTGGACGGCCAGAAAAGCAATGGGTTTCTGAAACGCACTTTCGAGGACGGAGGCGAGACGGCACTGCCTGGCATGCAGAAGAGATATGGAGGATTCATGGATTAGAATTAAAACATGGACACCCATCCTAAATGACCTATTCCTACTTTGTTTAGAGCTTGCACTGTACCAATTTCATGTGAAGCCATTTTAAATGACTATTTATTTTTGTCTTTGCTGCTGAATATTCCTCCATAATGTACAATGTACATTTGTGTTCTCTGTGACTATAGGGTTTGTGTTTTAAAAAGAAGAAATAATATTTTCACATTCTCTGTGCTTACAATGGAACAACCCATCCGATGGGACATTTGGTAAAGACAGAGGACGATGCTTTAACTATTTCTGGGTCACATCATGACTGATGAAAAGCAATTTTCACTGTGTTGCTTTGTTCTCTGAGAATCTCATCACATTAGCTAGTCTGCTTCGCTCATTGAACGCTGTAGTGAGGTTAAGTTTGCCGTCTGAACTTGATGATTAATGCATTTCTTTTAACAACTTTTCAACAGCTTTTGTTCTTGTTTAAATCAAAGCAAGATGATTTTTGAGCCATTAGCTGAATACAATAAATTCATCTTACTGCAGAAGTGTAATGTGTCAGTGAGGTATTTGTTTCTTACATATTAAGCCATTTCGCAAGTGGAAGATATTCTCCATTATTACGGTGTCACTGCCTCAATGGCCCAGCTTATTAAGACCCAACTTTTCATAATTTTACCACTTACTTGACCAATAAATGTCTGACAGGCTGCACTTTTTTGTGAATATGTTCAAGGCTTAAGAGCATTGCTAGCCAGGCATGATGTAAAGTTAAATTACTTATGCAGATAATTACATAAATGGATGGATGGAGATTTCTGAGTGGTTGCTGATGATCCATCTAGTCGATTTTTTATTTTGAATAGTCGACTCCTGAATAATTTGATTATGTTCACCAAAAACTTGTTCAGATCCATTAATCATGTTTTATTAATACCTTGTTTTGGAATCTGCCCAACAGTTATAATGGATGTGTTTTCACAAGGTGAAGCAATTTAGATGAGATGCCTTTATGGTAATCTGGAAGTATTTGTTGATACGTATGACCTTCACCGTTACCATTTAGCAAATCTGAAAAAAAATAATTCCCTTATCAAACTATTCTTTTTAAAATATAGTCTAGTTCTTAGATAAAATGTGAGAAAGACATTATGTTTAAAAAAATTCTAATTTCCAAGCTTCTAGAGACTGCTTATGAAACGTAGAAAATATAATGGGAAACTTACAACATTTGAAGTCACGTGGTAGCAGAAATGTTAATCCGCCACACTTTTCGCATTACAAATTATTTCTCTTGGGCTAAACTATGTTTTATCCTTGATTTTAAAAGTGATATTAAGGGTATTGAAATCTAGAGCATTACGTCTTTCCTCTGAAAAAGAACTTCTCATCGGAAGTCAAAGTGCCATTAATATCAAGAGAAGAAATCATTTTCCACTCACCTCTTCTCTTTTTTTTCTACATAAAAAAAAGGAATTCCTGTCCAAATTCTTGCCACTTTGCCCTTGAATTGATAAATGCAGCTTTGGCCTTCTCAGCATAAAGAACAGTGACTACGTCTCCCTGTCCAGTTCACTAGGAGAGGATAGACATAAAATATTAATTCCTTTAAGATCACAGAGCTTCTCAAAACCTTTGCATTGATTTGCTTACCAAACTGTGTGGAGAATTTTTGACATTTATACTTCAAAAGTTCCCACTTTATGATTGCTGAATCTGAATTAACTTTAAAATTCCCAATGATGTTCCTAATACTTGAATACTTTTTACTGATTTTACTGATTTTTTAATGATTAAAATTACAACTCCACAACTGGGACCCATGGAAAGTGAAGGTCTACCTTCCCATTGCGCTGACATGATAACACACAATTCTGACTTTATTTATTGCAATTGCGACTTTATATCACGCAATTTTAACTTTATTTCTCGCGGTTGCGCGTTTATATTAAGCAATAATATTTTTTACTCTTCCATACGAAGGCGTCAGCTGATAAGACATTAAATGTTGCCATATTAAATATAAAAACATGCGATTTTACATAGTAAAAACATTACGTTTTTAGTTAATACATATAAAACACAAACCAACACATTCTCACCTGTGAAAGGTTATCTACCATCTTCGGAAATTTAAATCTCGTCGCTTTCACAACATTGATCTAACTGTGAGTGACTCGGGTGACTCGCTGACCGTTGCAAGATGGCGGGCGAGATGACGTGTCTGATCTGGAGCGTAGAGAGTCCAACAACTCCCACAAATCAGTGCAGTCAGCTGAGTCACGTGACCGCAGTGAGTGTTTCTCAGATGGTTTCTCACCCGTGGACCGACTTGACTTCACTCACACAGGTGCTCCAGGTAACCTGCCGTACTGGTTAAGTTGTGTGTGTGTGTCAGTAGTCTCTCCACAAAGTCAAAGAGGAGGACGTTAACGTCATTCTTAACGTCTGCGCGAGCTCTCGTCGTCTTTGGTTCATGTGTTTGTTTGAAGATTTTGTTTGAAGAGCAATATTTATTTAACGTTACCGCCTGCGACCTGCAAAAGAACAATTCACCATCCTCCGGGGACTTTGTATCTCTCACAGTAAGGTAAACCGTGTTACATTCTCTAACAGACCTTCTTCAGGCTTATATTTGTTGTACAAACTTAAGTTCTTAATGACTGACACTGGCAGGAACATAAAATACTAGTTTACTTCTCATTCAATGTGTCTCACTACACTGGTTTTCTGTAGTGTTTGTATAAGCCTGTCTTAGTCACACGGTGATTCATTGTTCTTTTCTTCTTCACGTTATTCATAAGGTCTTCTGCACCTCTTAAAATGAACTTCCTCTTGGAGACTCTTCAGTTGATAGTGTTAACCATCTACTACCACCTGGAATTCCTTGTACAACTCTTCGTCCCTCAGAGGAAGAAAGATGTGTCCGGAGAGATTGTGCTCATCACTGGGGCAGGCTGTGGCATTGGCAGACTGATGGCCATTGAGTTTGCCTCACTGGACGCATCACTGGTGCTGTGGGACATTAATGTGGATGGTTTGAAAGAAACTGCAAGGCAGGTTAAAGAAAAAGGAGCGTCAAGGGTACATTACTATCAGTGTGACTGCAGTGATAGAGATGTGGTCTACCGAGTGGCAGATCAGGTAATCCAAGTTAAAACCTGCTCCTGTGAGTTGTTTTCCTGGAATGAAGAGTATTTAATTCAAATCCTGAAGTGGTCTGAGTACATAATTGATACTTTAAATACTGTAGACAATAGATTTTTTTGAACATTATCACGCATTTTTTAAGGTATTGCAACACACTTCTACATCAAATGTCCTTATAACTGCACTTGTTATCACTTGATTCTGATTGGTCAGTCCTGTGACATTCTGCATTCCTTTATTTTTGCCTAATGAGTGCTATTGGACCGTTGTCCCTGGCAACCAATACTTGATTCTGATTGGTCAGTCGTGGCATTCTGTTGTGATATACTGTACGTAACCCGCAGGTTTGGACCATAGAGTCACTTTGTAGGCCAACCGGCTTTTAGCATCACTTGAGAAAACCCCAATAGGATTTCCCCATAGACCTTGGGATTATTGCTAAAAACAAGCTCTGTGTTCAGCAAAAGTTTATGACACTTGCACATTTTGTCCAGCTAAAGATAGGTTATAAATAAACTATGCCACCGTCCCGCGAGTTTAATGTCACCATCACTAAGCTTCCAATATCTCTTTCAGCAATTTCCTAGAACTTTTGAGTGAGAATAGTTTATAAGAGCACAACTGTAAGCATAATGATGTATTTTATCTCGTAGAATAAAACGTGAAAGTGTCTTGAGCTTGTGTTCACCACAGACCTTATTTCAGGCATTTAACCAAAACCCATTGGCTTCGGGATGGGAGGACAGTTCAGAAGTGCCAAAATGTTAACTCACTTTTGTGTTTTGGCCTACAAAGTGATATCATTCCTGCAGCTCTGTTGTCTCTGTCAACCAATACTTGATTTTGATTGGTCATGATTGTTTTTTTAAGGGATAGTCGCACCTAAAGTTATATGTCCATTTGGTCACCCGAGTTATTTGTTTTATTTATACATTTTTTAATGGCTAACCGAATGATACACCATAATATAATAACATTTATCTTTAATAAATGGTTCATTTGAGATTTTGATCTAACTGTCCAGAATCTTTTACTCATATTGATTATTTGTTGACTTCTAGGTAAAAAGTGAAATCGGCGACGTCACCATACTAATAAACAACGCTGGAATAGTCGGTGGTAATAAGTTCATGGACACTTCTGATGCAGTTGTTGAGAAGACACTCAGAGTTAATGCAATGTCCCACTTTTGGGTAGGATTGATATATTTTCTACATTTTTTTTTTCTCCATCTATCAAATTTTTATGGCACTTTATGGTTTTTCAAGCCACTTTTCTGTATAAGTATCCTTGTGTGGGCTCTGTTTTAGACATATAAAGCATTTCTGCCCGCCATGATAGACAAGAACCATGGACATCTGGTCTGTGTTGCTAGTTCTGCAGGCTTGATAGGTGTCAATGGACTGGCAGGTAAAGCATTCATTCACCTATGTCCTCATATCTCTTACACAACTGCTCTCTCACCAGAGGTGCTTATAGAACACAAAGTCCTTCAGGGCTTTAAGTCTTTCAAACAACATGTATGGCAAGAAATCTATGTTGTTGTTAAGATATGAATGAAGACTAATTTTTAATACACAACTTGTAGATCACAGTCTCATGGTGGCTTTATTCCCACAGGTGTGTGTTAAATAAAAGTGTAGACTTTAAAGGGATACTCCACTTTTTTTGGAAATAGGCTCATTTTACAACTCCCCCAGAGTTAAACAGTTGAGTTTTACCGTTTTCAAATCCATTCAGCCGATTTTCTGATAATTAGAAGAATATCAGTAACCAGTTAGTTTCTGGTCTCATTGACTACCATAGTATATTTTTTTCCTACTATGGTAGTCAATGAAACCAAAAACTCTGTGGTTACTGATATTCTTCTAAATATCAGAAAATCGGCTGAATGGATTCGAAAACGGTAAAACTCAACTGTTTAACTCTGGGGGAGTTGTAAAATAAGCCTATTTCTAAAAAAGTGGAGTATGCCTTTAACAGGAAACAGATATCTGAGATAATGTTGTGCATTCCTGTGACGTCTGTTTGTCATCTTAGTTTGCAGATGCCCAGGACTTATTACTACGTGGAGATTTTAATAAGCTGCTTTCTGAAATGCTTAAAACTGGTTTACCTTGCATTGTCACTACCACGTTTGTACAAATGTCCTAACTTGCCTATCTTTTCCACACAGATTATTGCGCAAGCAAGTTTGCTGCTGTGGGTTTTGCCGAGTCTATGGCATATGAGCTGATATCTGCGGGGAAGGATGGAGTCAAAACCACAATCGTCTGCCCGTACCTCATCAACACTGGCCTGTTTGATGGCTGCAATACAAAGTAAGCTAACACACACACAGTGTAAAAAAATAATATATAGTTAATATAATGGAGATTGGTTAAAAAAATAGAAACTCAAAAATTGTTATCTGAACCACATTAATTATACCACATTAATATCAAATCATGAAAATATTTTTCTACCGTGCACATTTTTAACAGCAAAATGAACAGGATCTGAAGACATAATTTAAAGAAAAACACCTACTTTTAGGATAATGCTCAATCTCTCAGTGTTGCTTCACTCTCAAATTGTCGAAAGGACATCATTTCAGGGCTATTCAATCTCAGTTCTTTGTCGTTTTCCAATTAGCCATAATCAGAATCTCTGTAGGCAGGATTTTACACACTGCTTTGTAAATGTATACAATCAAAATAGAGACACAGACTTTGACTGTGCTTTATGGAGCTTGACAAAGAAATCACCGTTGACACAAATGCAATTACTATGATCAGACTTTCCAAGCCAAAGAATGTTTGTGCTTTTTTAACGCTTTCCTGCCATTGACAAGTTTTTCCAGCAATCCATGTTTTCACTGTTATTAGTCTTTTGAAACAGTACAGCATCTCCAGCTCAAAAAACAAGCGAAGAAAAAGGTCTGCGTTAATCAGAAAAAGCTGTTGCTTACACACAAGTAAGCTTTCGTGATTACCAAACTTTCAATAGCATAATGGTACAGAGAAAATAACAACAAGCTTTCATGGTGTTGATGGACTTGATTTTGATCCATCTATGTTTTGTAGGGGTGTAACAATATATTGTGTCACAATACAAAAATGCAACAATTTGTATCCTGGATAGTGATGATGTGTTTGTGTATAGTTCATCCAAAATGAAAATTACTGTGTGAGAAAAAAAATAAAGTTTACGGAGTTTTGGTATCAGTACTACATTAAAGCACTATATACAGTATAATGTTGTATATAAGTAAGGGATAATGCGCATCCAGCTGGTTGTTCCCTCAAAATAAACCCCTGACAGGGTGATGAGGACGCCTTTTACACAGCATTTCGCCACATAAATGGAGATAAGAGATATTGATTTCTGATTAAATTGTTTTAAAATCCTACCTGTTTGTATCTTATAATCCAACAGTGTACAAAACAATAGTCACAAAATGTCAGCAGCTGCTTTTGTATGAAACCAGAGAGAGCGAGTCCATGATACTGGATGGCAGTTTTAATAATTTATTAGCGCAAAAAAAAAAAAGTGTAGCGCTGCTGATTTCAGTAACCTGCGGGTTACTGCGTTATCTGGTTTTAGAGGTTGTTATCTGGGAATAAGATACCACTGGATGACACGATTGGCTAATCAGAATCAAGTATTCCACAAAGTCATGTAATAATGCGAAGGGAGGGGATTGTTTGGATTTTGTGGGTCCTGATAATGCCAAATGTCTGATGTTACCAGTAAAAAGTGGCCTACATTTATTTTAAATACATCTAGTCAGTGACCGAGTGCAAGCATATTCTTCTAAAACAATTCTTCATCAGCTTTAAAATCATGAATATTTTTATTTTGGTGTCACCATTGTCCTGTGCAGTGGATTACCAGCACCAAGTACAAGCCTATTCATTTACACCCACAATGTAATACCAAATTTAGCATTTTAATCAACAGTGCGTTTTTTGTTAACATTTTACCATATGTCTTGGAGTTTCGTAATAATATCCTATAGTAAGTTCAGTATTGTGATATGTATTGAATCGTGACATGAGGGTATCATTACACCCGTAATGTTTTGATTATTGCCTAAAGACTATGGCTGACTAAACAAGACTAAAACATGGTTTTCTCATCTTTTTGTTTGAAACCCCCAGTTCCCCTATTATGGAAACTGGCAGTGTGTAATACAGCTGCTTGTAAATGTAAAAGGTCTGAAAAGTTTCAAAGATCAAAGTGCACAATAAATAAAGTTATTGTCTCCTAAAAAAGAATCGATTCTAAACTGCCGAAATGAGTCGTCAGTAATCCCAGTCTCTCTTCCTGCTCAAACCTGCATAGGTTTGTAACAAATTCACCCTAAGCCACGCCCTAGAATGTAGATTGACCAATCACAGCCCAGCCAAGAACCAGCTCCCACAGAGGTTCGGCAGTTTTTCACTGCGCTCCATTGACTTTCAACACAGGCGTCTCATATTTTTGGTCTCGGCAGGCTATTACCGTAAATGTTTTATCCAAAAATATGGTTAAACGTTGTGCCTTGGGCATTTGCAACACAGATACGCGTTTCCCAGAGAGGTTGGAGGGGGGTGTCCGTTTTTTCCCTTCCCAAAACTGAAGTAAAGTCCTGACAGTGACAAGTGTCGTGTTTGGATTAAACTGTGTGGACGTCCTCAGTCAGCTAAACCCCGCAAAGATCAACAAGCACATCTTTTTTTACTTCTAACCTTACTGTGAAGTTATACTAGTTAGACCGTTTTATAATGTTTTAGGTTATGATTTCGGTTCTCATACCGGTTGTTGATACGCTAGCACACGCTGATAATAAATACAACGTTATACAGTACTCGTGTAGTCGGTTTGCTTTGTAATAACGATTATAGAAGTGAAAAGAGACCTACCCAGCTTTGGATGAACAGTGTTGCTCCGTGATTTTGTTAGTCCCAGCCTCCGTCTCGATTAGTAGGAAATGCGGTGGTTCATTTTTTGACTGTGACCGGTAATATGCTTTTGCCTCTATTTTGGATGCCTTGTTGTTGATTGCATTTCACCTGTATGTCTTGAATATAGCCTTCGAACGCATATTGCAGCCCCTTTAGCCTACTTCTATCGGACACTTTATTTGCTGCTTTATAAAAGTTTGATAACATTTCAGCAGGAAGAGCTCTTACCGCATAAGCCATGCAGAGCGCAGATGAAGTTTGACAGATGTAGCAACAGTAACTAAGGGGGCGGGGCTTAGCCAAAGGTGAATTTGCATAATGCCCGTCTATGGTCTTCATTGGCTGCCTGTGAACAATGTCTGCTTTGACCCACAAAACACTAGTTGTAGCTGAGACTGGATGAGTTTGGTTCATTGTTGACGTGTTGAGAAGATGTTTTTTGTTTTGTTTTGTTGTTGTTTAACAGCAATGATAAAAACTGCTCTGCATTTTATAGCCCTCAGCATGGTCCTTTGCCCAAGGGCTGGTACTACTTTTGTTTATTGATGGACCCTTCAAATATTGCCTGAATAGTTCCACTTTCTGTCATCCAATGCTGGTTAGAAACTAGCTGAACTTTTGTATTGGTTGTGAGCGACACATAACAAGTATCTTTGAGTGAAAGACAAAGAGGCTATAGATTTTCCCTTTTAATCTGGACATGAATGTAAAATGCACTTAAATATCCTCCAAGTACCCAATCATACAGTCATTTGGGTCATACATACATTTTGGGTTTATCAGTTTGTAAAAAATAGCCATTTAAATCAAAGCCTGTGCCTTGTGTGTAGGTGGCCTCGACTGCTGCCCACATTGGAGCCAGAATATGTTGCTAAGAGGATTGTCAATGCCATTCTGACAGACCAAGTTTACCTTTTACTTCCAAAGACCTTATACTTGTTAAGGGCTATAAAAGGGTAAGTTAGTTTCATATGCTTATCTCAAACTTCTCCATGTAAAAACATGTCCTAGTGCTTACAAAGTTTATCTGTAACAGTTTTTCTATCTGTAAAAAGGTTTCATATTTTAAATATTTTTGTAGTACATAATATCTTTCCAGCTTCAAATATCAACTGCAAGCATTATATAATTGTTCTTATTTGAAAATAACGGGTGCTTCTCAATTGAAAGGCTGTATCCTAGTGAGGCTGTGCCCTTCCTAGTCTAGTCCTTTTACAGTCTTCCTCCGCATTAAACGCTAGAATGAGTCGGTCTTGATGGCAATGTCATAAATGTATCTGGCCTTATGGTCAAAATCTATTAAAATAATTATTTGAAAAATACTTTATATTAAAACCCTTCATATCAACTGCATTTCTGTCAATGCAGTAATAATTGCAACTGTCTGTGGTCTCAGTTTACAACATAACAAAAGAAAACAATGCCTTATTCTCAAAAATATTTTGGGGGGTCTTGAAATTTGACAAGCTCAGTGCTGATAAATTTTCTGATAATTATTTTTCTGTGATTGAAGGATGCAAAGGATATATTCGATGCATCCTTCAAAACAGGCCGACTGAAGGGCGTAAAATAAATTAAGGCCCTGTCCCAAATAGCACACCTCAAATGCACTTACGGTCTTGTGGACTTACTGTACAATGGCTGCCACGTGCATGTGTCTGTTGAAAAGAGTAGTTCACTTTTGCTGATAATTTACTCACCCCAATGTCATCCAAGATATCCATGATCCATGTCATTCTTTCTTCAGTCGAAAAGAAATTAAGGTTTTTGATGAAAACATTCCAGGATTTTTCTCCATATAATGGACTTCAATGGGAACCAAACGGTTCAAGGTCCAAAAGACAGTTTCAGTGCAAACTGCAAACTGTTCAAAGGGCTTTAAACGACACCAGACGTTGAATAAGGGTCTTATCAAGCGAAACAATCGTTCATTTAATAAATAAATAACAAAGTTTAAGTTTTATAAGCTCAAATGCTCACCTTGCTCTGTTCTGTTATGTGCGTCCGTGACTCTCCTGTTCGAACTCGTTCATCAAAATGAACAAATCTTTTTTCGTGGTTTTTTGGGGTTTTTTTTAAGTGAATTTCTCCTTTAAGTCCATGAGTCCATTAATTTTAGGTATCAGAAGGGTGCTCTTGAGCGCCTCCTTTGCAGTCCACTGAAGCGAGCTCCGCAGCAGCTTCTTTCCGACAGTCAAAGCGGGGTTACGTCTCTAAAGTGTGGACTCGTAGGAAGACCACGAGTGTTTAAGGGTGCCATTTGGGACAGGGCCTGAGGTAGATGAGATATGCAACCTTACTTGGATGCAGCCTTCTGTTTGGGAAGCTCCCAATGACAGTGTTGTCCAAACCTACTGTGGTCCAAAAACACATTAAATTGATCAAAAGAGACGGTAAACACATTTAAAATGTTGAAAAAGATATTTATTAGAAATGCTGTTTAAATGTATCCTGGTTTCCACTGGATTATTGGCTTTGTTGATGAGAACAAGAAAGCAAGAGCAGCAAATCATCATATCAGAATGATTTCTGAAGGATCATGTGACACTAAAGACTGGAGTAATGGCGCTGAAAATTCAGCTTTGCCGTCACAGAAATAAATTACACTTTAAAATATATTCGAATAGAAAGCGGTAATTGCTGTTTTTACTGCATTTTTTTAATATAAAATAAGTGCAACCTTGTTGAGCATAAGAGACTTGTTTCTAGTGTGCTTATGTGTACAGCTTCGGTTTTTCTTGGTTTGTATGTAGGAGACAAAGAAAACATTTTCTAGCCTTGTATGCACAACGTAACAGTCACATTTACATGGGTGCAGCAACTGAATACTCATGTACAAAACTAATGGCCCTTTTGTAAATGGAAATACACATTTAATTGGTCCTTACACAGTCTGAGGCTTGATCCCCGCAGTGTATAGAAATCCTCTGCAGAAATTTAAACCCATAAATTTGCCGTTGTCTGTGGAGTGAGTCGGGGATGCGACATGAATAATTTCACTATAGACTGTTGATGTCAAAGGAAATCTGCTGCAGTAAAGAGGGAGCTAGTGGATTTGAAAGATGGATCTGGAGTGAACTAAAGGACTGAGAGTTTAGCCATAAGCAATGACACAGAACAAAACTGTTTCTCAAGCACTGACCTCATAGGACAGGGTTGCGTGTGTGTGGATTTACTCACTTCCCCGAGGAGATTAAGACACTGAATGAATGACAGGAACACTGATTCATCGTGTTCCTGTGCTGACTTTACCTTTGCTTAGGTGAAAGTTGGTGATATATATATGTTTGCTTGTTGTATTTATGAACTTAAATTGAATTATGCACATTGCTGTGGTTACGAGACTGTGTTAGTCAGCTTATTTCGTAAGAATGATTAAGAAGATCGTTTTTAAGGAGAAACACCGTTTCAGTTTCACAGCCGCAACCAGTCTCGCAAGTTGTATCAGTTGTAGGTGAAATGTTTTCCAGCTGCACTATTGCCTGTATTTCATAACACCTTTAATGTGCCGTGGCTTGAAAAAAGGAGGACCCTTAAGAAGCTCTTTCTTATGCTGCTGTGACAATTACTGATTCTAACTCGGAAGACAAAGCAACACCTGTTTGTGTGGGCTGTGAGACAGGCTTCGGGTGCATAAAATTGGCCAATTAATTGCAATCTGTGTTTGGTCTTTAATGTGTTTTGGACAGTAGAGTCATAATTATCAAGGCTGCAGTATTTGAATGGGAAGGGGCATTCTTTATTATGTTAATGCACGCTTTCCTTTTTTGGAAAAGCATGTGTAACCGTCCTGATTCTGATCCTATCACTTAAATCATCAAATCACAAATTACATTTGTTAATGTATTATTCCAGCATGATGAATCTCAGTGCATTAGGCGATCATTAGGTTTGAATGATCTCATTTCCAGGCGTGGTCATTATTTTCAGTACTGAACACTGGCCTTTTTCCTGACACCTTGCTCCAGTTTGAAATGATAATTTCTCTCTTTGTGGATAGGATGTTTGGATACAACAACAAACAAATGTGCAATTTAATATATAAAACATATATATATATATATATATATATATATATATCTTAATTTTTCTTTACAGTTTAATCCCATTCAAGCAATCAGTTGTCCTGGGTAAGTACTTGGGGGCCTTCAATTTCATGGATGCTTTCAGAGGACGGGAAAAGAAGAGAGACTAAATGTAATGAAGCAAATTTCATTATATTTTCATGCTTTGTATATTAACACTTGTGATTTTTCATTATTTGTAACTACCTCTGCCAAACAGGTATTTCATTATATCATAAAATCACATTACATACTGTATTTTGATATTGGGGGAAGATAATTTTTTTTATAATAATGTCATAGTTAGGATCTAATGTTGGCCTCAATTCAAAAGCAAGATATATATGATAATGCCAATAACAACAATGTCAGATGTAGGCCTAATTGTGCTATAGTGGTACACATGACTGAATAAGTGTGAAATATTTACATTTTGTTAATTGTGTTTACCCCTGTTTGTTCCAGAAATTGTTCTGTAAGTTCTGTTTTCTTCTTCTTAAGCTGTCAAAAATAACAGTGTGCCAATTTAGTTTAATAAGAATTTAATTATGCTGCTGGGACTGTTTTGTTTGAGCTTTGATAGACTGCTTTTAGGCTTGCAAAATGACCAGCTCTAGTTTTAATGGATAGGATCCTAGATTTGCATGCATATGGCACCATCTAGTGTTGTTAAACATTGTCTGTGATTATTATAACTGCCTCTCAAAGAGAAAACTGTTTTCCTAGACAAACAAGTATTGCATTAATGTTAAATGGTGTAGGTCTGTCTGCAAACCTTTTAACCATGTGTTTGTAATAAATAAAAGCAACTGGCTCTGAATTGTTTCGGTCTAATGCCAAGACAAAATATACAGAATTTACCTTTTAAATATACCAGATTTTACATCCAGAGCTATTACATAGAGAAGAAATTGTAGCATTTTTTATGCAGCTTTCAATTTGCAGTCCTGCAGTAATGCGAGACGGGGAACGGACAACCCAATTCAAAATGCCACGTCTAAGGCACAGACCACCTTTTACCAGCTGTTTAAGTGATTGACATGTCTCAGATTTGGCCCTTTGTGACCTTCCACACAAATGAGAGCCGAGATTTGATTCGGTTGCATTTGAGATTTTGGATGGAGAGCAGAAACATGAGGCCTTCAGGGAGAAAGAAATAGATTTTCAATTTATTGTTTGCCATCACAGCACCTCATTCCACAGCTCATCAGATAGAAAAGATATTCACAGCACCAGCACCGGCCCAGCACAGGAGGGAGGATATTATAAAATAAAAATCGGATTTAACCGCTTTATGCTTGGTTTGGCGCATTTCTCTCAGGATTTTTTTTTTTTAAATACTTATGCAGATAAGTAAAATAAACATATTATAATAATATTGGACCTGCTGGAGAATCTCTAGGGGAAAATTTGGAGGTTATATTGAAATAGACAAAAAGATATTTGAAACACGTTCAAAAGGGTGACGAGATTCCCCAGGTGTCAGTTTGGGGAGCCCTAAATTGATTCTTTTCATGTTTACAGTCTAGATTCAATTCTACTCAATAATTTGATAAGCGGCCGGAAGTGACGTTCCATGAATGGTGATGTTTAGTACAACTTATGTAAGCAAAGCAAAGAAAAAAATTTTTTTTCCTAGGACATTATATATTTTTTGCAACCGGATTAGTAATTTTGTCTAAAAGGAAGAACAGGTTTTGAAAGACAGAGCGCCATTTTTTTTTTTTCCCCATCATCATCGCTCAGAATCGGGTTTCTCTTAACAGTGTGGTGGAATAAAAACCTGGAGAGGAGTAGAATGACTACTCCGGTGAAGGTCTAAGGATGCTTGATTATATCCGCCGTAGAGTCCTATGCTATACTGAGAATTTATATTGGCTTTTATACTCTATGGCTATACTAAAGAAATGTTAGTCACAAAAACAGACAAAATAGCCACCCCTCATTTTGTTTATGCTTCTTTGTTTTTTTTAAAACCCGGCTATCGTCATGTTCAAGAAACCAATTTTAAATGATTCGAGCTTTGTGACATGGTGCATTATCCTGCTGGAAGTATCCATCAGAGGATGGGTACATGGTGTCCATAAAGGGATGGACATGGTCAGAAACAATGCTCAGGTAGGCCATGGCATTGAAACGATGCCCAATTGGCAATTTGGCACTAAGGGGCCTAAAGTGTGCCAAGAAAACATCCCCCACACCATTACACCACCACCACCAGCCTGCACAGTGGTAACAAGGCATGATGGATCCATGTTCTCATTCTGTTTACACCAAATTCTGACTCTACCATCTGAATGTCTCAACAGAAATCGAGACTCATCAGACCAGGCAACATTATTCCAGTCTTCAACTGTCCAATTTTGTTTTGCTCTTGCAAATTGTAGCCTCTTTTTCCTATTTGTAGTGGAGATGAGTGGTACCCGGTGGGGTCTTCCGCCTCAAGGTTGTGCGTGTTGTGTCTTCACAAATGCTTTGCTGGATACCTCGGTTGTAACGAGTGGTTATTTCAGTCAAAGTTGCTCGTCTATCAGCTTGACCTCTAGCATCAACAAGGCATTTTCGTCCACAGGACTGGTACATACTGGATGTTTTTTCCTTTTCACACCATTCTTTGTAAACCCTAGAAATGGTTGTGCGTGAAAATCCCAGTAACTGAGCAGATTGTGAAATACTCAGACCGGCCCGTCTGGCACCAACAACCATGCCACGCTCAAAATTGCTTAAATCACCTTTCTTTCCCATTCTGACAGTTTGGAGTTCAGGAGATTGTCTTGACCAGGCCCACACCCCTAACTACATTAAACTGTGCGATCGGTTGATTAGATAATTGCATTAATGAGAAATTGAACAGGTGTTCCTATTAATCCTTTAGTCTCCCATTATCTAGTGAATTGCAATATTTTATGTGCAGCTGTGCTATTGCTCTGCTAATTCAACCACCACACTCTGGTCTAACTGATGTAATGTAAAATCAGTGAATACAGCGCGTATGCGTGAAACCTCCAGGCTCCAACACTAGATTGAGTTGTGTCTCAGTTTCGTTGTCCATGTACCTCGATGATGCAATGTAGTTTGTTGCCACTGGGGCGCGCTAAAGTCACGCGTATGATACATTGAAAACATTATCTTCACGGACAGCTTCATTTATCCCGTATACAAAAATACACTGGCCAAATAAGCTTGCATTCAAGCTCTGCCTACAATGTATCTCACAAATGTGCAAGTAACTGCAGTCTTTATTTGGAGAATTGGGCTATAGTGTACGCAGGGATGGGCAGTATTTCAGATGCATGTATTTAAAAAACAAAATATTATTTTGTATTTAAAGCCTTTGGAAAAAAATAAAATGCATTTTGTATTTAAATACATTCAAAATACTGTATTTGTATTTAAATTGTTTTTTTTTTAATTATTTTTATTAAAAAATAGCCTATCTATGTATTTATGCCTATCTCTGGGTGTACGTGAATGCAGCATCACAAAGAAAGTTAGTAAGCTACTAAATGTTTTGTTGTTGTTGTTGTTGTTGTTGTTTGTTTGTTTTTTCTAAATTAAATTTCAGTCCAATTATAATATGGACATATCGCTCTTCAGACAGCTTGTGCGGTCCCAGACTGTATTACTACACCTTTACTGGTTTTATTTTGTACATCTTCACCCAGCCTTTGATGCTGGACTGGCTCACTACAGTGACAGTATGTTGAGCGGTGCGCGCGCTCCGCACGTTTGATGACGCTCCGCTGTAAACATCACTGACGTGTTAGTCGCGTGAGGGAATCTATTAAACTTGGATTTTGGCGAGCGACACTGTATTCTTCAAACCAATCTGCGCCTGCAAACCCAGCAACATACGTCCACACTGCGATGGCAAGAAAATCCCAAGTCCCGTCTGCGTATTATGGTAAGTTGCTGTTGAAAGCTTGATCTACTGTAGCCTACATGTATTCTTCCTTGTGTGGTGTCAGATTTTCTCCGCACGGACAACTTGTAACATTAATCTTCAATGGAAGGTGTGATGCAGGAGTGTTCATTCCCAGCTGCAATAGATGGGAATTAAAGTTTAAAATGTACCTAGGCTATATTTGCATCCAGACGTGGACAAAAATATTGCCCTTGGGAATTACTGCATGGTTTATAAATGTTAGCAACAACTGTGATATGAGAGATTAATCAGAAATATGATTCATTTTTTTGAACGTACCTATATGTGTTAGTATGGTTTGTTTACCCTGCTGAAATAGAGGAGGCAGCAACTTTGTGTTGCCAAGGGCATCATGTGCTGTGTTGGCTTTCAGCAAATCATTGAGCAACAGTGGAGAACACAACCTATCACCTTGCTCGTGAGATATTAAAATTAAAAGCACAGGTCACAAATGGAAGTGTGATCAGATTAACTTCTGTTGTTGTAAATGGTCTTTCCATCCGTAATAAAAACAAGATTATTTATAAAAATAGGATATGGCTTTGTGCTCTTGTGTTGTTGGTTTCCAGAAGCAAGTGTACCTACCTATTCAATTTCTTATAGTAAAAATGAAAAGATGATTGAGGCACCGTTTGGTTTCTGGGATTGTGACATTTGCAGAACCCCCTAGAGCAGCTTTTGTTTGTTTTTCTTCAGCCAAACACAGGGCTGTACCCTTAAATGGACAGTTTGTACCTTATCTACCATAAAAGAAGCAGTTCCTTAGAGTAATAATATTTACACTTAAGGTACTAATTATGAACCTTGTGTTGAGTATGCAATATTATATTTAAAGTATCCCTTGACAAGATGGTTCTTCAGAGGGTTCTGCCAGCGAGCAAGCTGAGGAACCAAAATTGTGGCTTATCTTTCCATTTTTACAGTGTAGCAAGTTTGTTTCTAATTTTCATACAAATCTAGTACAGTATGAATATAGTGTCACTGTGTGAGATGATTATATTGGAGAAAAGATGCCAGAATTTAAATCCAGAGACTTGACAACCCCTCTAAAACTGTTGATGTGCTATTGTACGGGATCGAATTCAGATGCTACTTTGCTATGATTATTTTATTGGTGTTTGCATGACACTCCAAGGTACTTTAAAGAATACTATGGTATTCTTACACATGCACATGCTATTAACTTTGCACTTGTGTTGCTTTTTGTGAAAGCTGTAAGATATGCAGTATAACTTAACTTCTTAACGTTTAGGGAGTAAAACAGAGCTCCAAAATGTGTGCAAATGTTTTTATAGGCAAGTTTAATACACTCCTCAAATGCACATCTTACAACAACGTGACAATTTAAAGATTCAGGGCCTGTTTTTGTTCGTTTTAATCGTGTTTTATGAGGCTGCACATCTGTGACCGCTCAGTGGAACCATTTGTAATGCTGTACTGATGCTGGGAATATAACCTACACATTCTCATTCATATTTCTATTAACCAAGCTCTCTACAGTTGTTGTCGTTTAGCCTCGCTTGCTCCTAAATCACTTGTTTGACGCCATTACTCATGTGTCACTGGGAGATGTAATTAAATTTGTGCTTGATCCAGAAACCAGACAGATTAGACATCTAATCTGTGCACACTTGCGTACATGGCTTTGATTGATCCATGTAAACGTGAAACAGATTTATTTGAATGCACAAAACTTTTGGAATGATGTCATTTTAGAATAAAAGTTAAAGTCTCGCAGGTGTAAGTTATGACTTTTTTTTTTTTCAGGATAGTTTACAATACATTTTTCATAGCTGTTTTGAATTCCAAAATGGCATACAGGAACTGGCTGACCCTTATACGGTAATATTTATAAGGAATAAATATGCAGGTTGGGAGCCAAACCCTTAGAAAAGGTCACTTGGTTTCCTAACCTGCTGCATTTGCATTATCCTACTTTTTTGTTTTATTTATTTATTGCAAGCTGACCACAGAAAAGCTTTCAGTTTCTCATTTAAATAAAAATCTGTGCTCAAGTGACATCCATGCACATTCTTAGAAAAAAGGGGTCGATGGGTTTCCCTAGGTTTCCCTTTCTCTTGACTCAGTTTTAAAGAACCATTTTATGCCAAAAAGGTTCTATAGGAGAAATGCCTTAAACGATTGCTTAACACTGTTTAATTGGATATTTAATGTTTTTCTAATGATGAAGTTTGCAAGCTGTTTAATTAATTAATTTAATTCAAATTAAAAAAATAATTAAATTCATTAATTGAAACTAAATTAATAACATAATGGGAACCCCTAAAAAAAAGAACCCTTTAAGGTTCTGTAAAGAACTTTTTCCCTTAAGGGTGTTTACACAACAAAGATGTCCTAAAAAAAACGTTTGCGTTTTTCACATTCAGACAACAACGTTGTTAACTCTGTATTCTGCTGTCAGGCCAGTAGTTGGTGACATCGATTTGTAAAGAAACACTATACGCCTAAAGCCAAGTTCACACTACAGGATTTTAAGCCCGTTTTGAAAATCGTTGAGCTCGCCGATAGGTCAGGGTGTTATCGCGTGCAAATCGCGGGGGATTAACGAGCGATGAACGCTCGCCAATCTGGTAGCATGAAAGAGCCAACAACGCATCAAAGACACTCACAGATGCGTCGCGGAGTCCAGAAAAATATCTAGCATAGATATCCAGAGCTGTCAAACGACTTAACCTCAGTGATGTCATGAGCTACAGCCAATCAGAGCAAGGCATGGGTTGAGGTCAGTATTCTTCGCCGCATGCTGTTTCGCATCATTTTCGGTTCGTTTTATCACGTCATTTTTTGCGACATAACATGGTTTGTTGACAAGATAGAATCGTTGGGTGACAGAGTTGTTGTCAACTCGTGTAGTGCGTTACCTCCTGTTGTGGATCAATCACGTTGTGTCGTGTGGTGTGAACAGTTCAACAACTTGAACACTCCTGATTTCACAGAGAGCAAGTCATGTAATGTGAACCGCTCAGTTTAGCCCGACATTTTAAAATCATGTAGTGTGAACAAGGCTTAAAGACATGCATGTGCATGTCGTCACCGTTTTCACAAATTCGCGTTTTGGTAGTTAACACCAGGGCAATTACAGTATCGTTTTCAAACATGCAATTTGAAATCTGTTTTTTTTTTTTTTTTTTTTTTTTTTTTTTTTCAGGCCCCCAAATCGCCGTTGTCATGTAAATGAAAGGCCAAATAAAAAGTTTTCCGTTTTTAGTTGAAAACGGTGTCGTGTAAACGGAGTGTCACATATCGGTTATAAATAAAGCATTAAAAGACTGGATATTCAGATCTAGGTGAGTAGGTATGACACAATCTAATAGTGAGTAGATAAAGCTGTTAGAAGACCATGAGATTTCTTCTTATTTTTCTGCAGGATTAGATTTATTTGATCACAAACAGTGCAGATAGGAGCTTGAAAATGAAACTCATCCGTTAATGCTATTGAATAAACAGATGTTATGCGACTCAGAGGGCCTCAAATTCTGTGTGCTGGGAATTGTGACAGGTGCGCTGATAAATGATGTGCAACTCATCTGCAGAAAGATCATTGTCAAAGTGACTGCTGGGAATCTCAGGAAATGCTCTCATCATTAGCTTTACTACAGTAAGCCTTTAAGCTAAGGAGAAACAAGAAGTGTCTATTTTTAGTTGGACTGCAGTAAAGCCAATGAATAATTCAGCAGGGCAAATTTGGGACCAGAGGATAAAATTTTTATGATGTGCCATCACTAAGTGATTTCCACACCTCTGTGAAAAGCCATAGCCAAGGCTGAGAAATCTTAAATGGGAGTCAATTACTTCTTCATGGTCAGGAGTTAGAGAAACCGATGTTTGAAACGTAAGCCTCTGTTTTTTTTTTTTTTGTATTTTTTTTTTTTTTTTTTTTTTTTTTGAGGGCTGGTTCTGTTCATGAAATGAAATGGAATTAATTGAATGTCTATTCCAATTAGTAATGTTTGTAATTGTAGTCTTTTGAAAGAGCTATTTAAAATAGCCGTTTTCTATTTGAATATATTTTAAAATGTAATTTATTCCTGTTTAGCTCAATTTTCAGCAAGAAACATTTCTAAAAATTTCATTTTTTGGCAACCGTGATATTTTCAGGATTCTTTGTTGAAGATAAAGTTCTAAAGAATAGCAGTTATTTGAAATAGAAATATTTTGTAACATTAAAAATATCTTTATTTTCACTTTTGACATATGGTCTCAAAATAAAATGGCACCAAATATGTTACTGTTATTAATATACTGATAAACAAATGCCATTTTGTATTATTCCCTTGTTTTATCTGTTTTTAATGTCAGTCAAGGAAGATTCAAACCCTCAATCTCGTGAGCCACATCAGATCATATGCGTGAACTCCTAATTGCCCCTGTTGAGTAACAAGGATTGAACATATCTTTGGTAGTGTTGTTTTATTGATGAGGTCAACCTGTATTTTGAATGTTTTAAAATCAAAACAACACCTTAATACCATCCTCTTCAAGCGAGTAAGAAAACATAATCCTTCTTTGGCTGTTACAATCACTAACCATCACTGGGCTTCTGTTACTTGAGATAAACGAGTGGAAAGCAAACGAATGTTTCTGCTACTTTGTCGGCCAGGTCTTATCTCGTGGTAGCCAAAGCCAGACAGTTGCATTCCTGGGCTGTCAGAAGGAGATAATCCAGCCTGTCAGCGTCCTTGCCACTGTGGTACAGTGCTTTTCTAAACTCGGCCATTCTTCCAAGCTGCTGGAAATCTATATGAATGATACGAGACCGGCGAAGGTGTCGCTCATCAGTAACCGCTCTACCACGGCCCTTGGCCTCGCATGCTCGACACTGTTGGATATTTACTTGTGCAGCTTATTTCGGTAACACTTTATTTTACGACCCGCAAACAACTGCGTAAGTACACTGAAATTACGGTGTATATTTCTGTAATTATAGTGTACATCCATGTAGGTATAAGAGAACAATA